GCACAAACTAGATGCATGCAGCCCAGACTGGCACTGTTGCTCCTGATGATTGAGGGCATCTCAGTAGAACCACTGCGCATGGCGGGGCTATACTGGTGCGCGGGTGGTTCTGGTGTGCTGGATTGGGACAAAGTGTTGCCGCCACGGTAAAAATTGTAATGAGATGGGGGCAAGAGATTTTACTTTCTCAGCTGAGCACCGCTCGATATGCACGAGGAGCCAGCAGATCGTGCATGCACGTAGTGTTTGTTGGTGAAAGTAAACGCTAATCAGTGTGGACGGATTTAGATGCGTTGTCGTGCAGATGCACTCCAGGAGCATCGGGACTTTGGGCCAAACAATTTCTATTTTTCTTGATGTTTTATTTAGATATTTTTCAGGTGAACCGGAACTAGAACTTCAGAGAAGTTCCAGCCGATCATCAGATGTGGCTTTAGATCTTTATTTGTCTGACGTTCCTTCTTCTTCGTCTCCTTCTTCTTCCTCTTCGTCTCCTTCTTCTTCCTCTTCGTCTCCTTCTTCTTCCTCTTCGTCTCCTTCTTCTTCCTCCTCCTCTCCTTCTTCTTCCTCTTCGTCTCCTTCTTCCGGCTCTGATTCATCATCAGGTTAGAGTTTTATTTGAAAGCATAAACGGTTTCCAATTTGACAAAAAGATGCGTTAAGTTCGAAGGTAGTGCTAGCCCTAAGGGTAGTGCTGGCTCCTATATTGCCGACCTCACCTTTCAGTGCTTGAATTCAAGTACAGTAGGATCCATAGCAATCCCTTACCTCTCCTCTGCCGTTATGTTGACGAACTGCTTGTGCTTAAATTTCCTCATTTTCGTGCCATTACATCTACCGACTGCTTTGTGCTTTCCGGTATAGAAATAGATATCAGTTCTCTAAATACTTCCCACCTACTTTAGCTCACTGCTACCGGTTGATACACTGCTTGTCTACATAACCCGCTCTTTCCTGGTTCTTGTATGTTCCGTTCTGCGTTGTCCATTCGCTTTTCCCCTCGGCTTTCTTATCGACTTACTATTTTTTCCAAAAAAGGCTGCCGCAAAAAGAAGCAAGAACGCCAGCGACGACGGTTCCAACCATTAAACCTCTATGATCGAGGTTCGCCAGCTATCTTTTTGCTCCTTAATTTCCTTTTTTATTATATGTTAGATCTTTTCCTACCCTCTTAAACCTTTTTTCCAACTCCTTTTTGTTCATAAGGTTAATACCTGACTTTTCTTTTCTGTTCTTACCCCT